AATATAATTGTAATAATATAATAATAATAAATAATTTGTAATATTATTATTGTTATTAACATTTATTATTATTATTATTATTATTATTATTATTATCATTATTATTATTGTTATTATTACTGCTATTATTATTATTATTATTATTATTATTATTATCATTAATATTGTTATTGTCATTGCTACTACAAATTGTCTTTTAATATTTATTTCCGCAAGCAAACATGTCTATCTTTCATGTTTATCATTTCCTTTTACAACTGTTCTTCATGTAAGAGTTGACATGGAATGGATGTCTCGAAATTGGTTCAGTCAGGAACGGCTGATTCCATATTGCATCGTAATACCATTTCAGCAAACTGGGAAGAATAATCAGTGGAGCATGCTTTGTGAGGATAATTAGTCATTTGGATCGGGTGGATTAGAATCACTAGATGATTAGTCATTTGGATCAGGTGGATTAGAATCAGAATCATTAGATGATTAGTCACTTGGATTGGGTAGATTAGCATCACTAGCGGTTAGAATCGATTCTAAATGTTAACTCGACCTTGGCTTAATGTTAAACGAAGCAATTTTTTGGCGATTATCGCAGTTATAATCCATTAATAACATACTATGAAACCTGTCTGTTCGATAATTTCTACATGATCGCAAAGCAATGTATCGAATATTTCGTTATGTATATGGCTGTTGGATCAAACATTAAAGTTTAAAAGAACTAATTAAAATAACTGTTCCTTATCATTTATTTCGGCATTTGTGGATTTTCCACACAGAATAAGCAACCAATTGTGAATTGACACCTTATTCAAATGCCCGCGAGATCATAATTTTCATAACGGGCAGTTCAGAGTGACGTTCTGAGATTTTTAACTTTTGCTATTAGCATTTGTTATGACAGTTAGTTGTCATTTTTAGTTGGTGGTGAAGGTGGGTTGAATTAACTGGTTGCTTACATATAAATGTTATACGTTTGACATAACTTAGAATACTCTACCTTGTAATATATCTTCTCTTACTTTACATGACTGTGCCAAATAAACATTAATTTGTCATCATTGCAGACAAGCATTATACAGTATTATTATGACATATAAGGAATTTTATTTAGCATAATAATGTCAATGGAATAGTTGCAGCCTGGAAGTATGAGTGATTATGACCATTTGGCGGAGCAGTTAAGGCATCCCGAAAATCCCATAGTATTCATGGAGATGACTGCCGGTGGTGCACCTATTGGAACAATCAAAATGGAATTATTTGCAGATGTTTGCCCAAAGACAGCCGAAAATTTCAGGTTTGAAGAAAATGTTGCAAGAACTAAGTATTATGTTACATAAGAAGTGAGTGTACTTTGTAACTGACAGTGTTTCATCGCACTCCTTCAGGATTTTTCGTAGTTGAATCCACTCTTTCTAGACAATTTTGTACTGGCGAATATCGTAGAGATGGTGTGCCGGTTGGCTACAAAAATGCGCAGTTTCATAGAGTGATTAAGGATTTCATGATTCAGGGAGGCGACTTTGTCAATGTTAGTTTGTTTATTTCCTTAAACAGTGTTGTTTACTGCCATTTGGCGAGGATTGATATTGATATAATCTGTGGTAATTGGGTTCAATTCATGTTTTAGTATGGTATGTGGTAAGAATTTTTGCCACCGCTGTTTCAGTTTTAGTGCACTTTGAGTAGTTTTTATTATATGGAGTCAAAATTGTTTTCTTGCCTGCTTCATTTTTCCATATCTCTTCATGTTATGTTATTTATGTTTTGTTGAACTGTTTTGCTTCAGGGTGATGGTACTGGTATGACAAGTATATACGGGTCAAAATTCAGGGATGAAAATTTTGATTTGGAACATTCAGGACCGGGAATTTTATCAATGGTAACTTTGTTATTAAAGCAGTTTAATAAATGATGTAGGCCTTTTATAAACAAAAGTTCCGTAGTTATTTTGCAGGCAAATGCTGGGCCAGATACAAATGGTTGTCAATTTTTCATAACATGTGCGAAGTGTGATTTTCTTGATAAGAAGCATGTCGTTTTTGGTTAGTTATTAGTTAACAAAATTTTAGTAATCTTTGCTGTTTTGTTCAACTTTTTAATCTACCTATTTCTTTGCTGAAATGGTTCATTTCTCAGTTTTCTACTTTCGAGATATGAACTTCAAGTCAGATTACTATTTTGCAGCTCTCTTGAGCTACTTGTCCAGGTCAGTTTTGCAGTTCCGAATTAGTCTGTTACGAACCATTTTTTTTTCTTATATCTGATTTCTGTTTTAATACTCTCACCCATCACTTCTTGTCGTTTTACTATCTGCTTCCCCTTTGTCACTCTTTATTATTTCAGAAATATGTGGCTCTTTTAGTCCGTCATGTTTTTCGGATGCTTCCTTTAATATATTACTAATGGATATATTTTTTGCAGGAAGAGTATTGGATGGTTTATTAACAGTGCGAAAAATCGAAAATGTCCCAACCGGTCAAAATAATAAACCGAAAATTCCTATTGTTATTACGCAGTGTGGGCAGTTGTAGCTGTGAACTTAACTATTGTATTTCTATTTTCATGTCATTTACTGTGATCTCAGTCCTAAAAATCGGATTTTCGCTAAGAATCAGAATTTTGAAATAAATGGTGGAGAGAGTGGAAATTAAAGAGCTTCTTGCGCTACTTGGATGACATTTTTCCTGAATTTTGAGAAGATTCGGAAAACCTTCTGTTACACAATTATTGTTAACTTAAGGTAGTGACTGCGAAAATCTTGTGAATGGACATACAGACAGTTTAACTCGAATTGATGTGTTCCATCAGCACTTGTGAGGCATTAGGGCAGGAAGTTATCAATTTTATATTTATTTGATGAGTATTTCATGTCCAGAATGAATCACTTTTTTAAAGATATTTTGCTGCGGCAAAAATTGATATTCATTAATTTAAAAAACTGCCGGAGGCTATAAAAATGCTGTTTTGTGCTGTTTGTTTTGATGGTCAGTGGTTCTTTCTGTTACCGTTACACTTTTTACTTGATACACGAACAGCGGGTATGTTTAGAAAACGGATATTTCTTTCCTTATCAGCTAATGTTATGAAAAGTTTCCTTTCCAAGGTCTGCTGTAGCAAGACGGGGAGCACTTTTCTAGGGACCTTTCTGGACGCTTCTTTGTACGTTCCATAAGATCGCGCGTCATTTCTACATTATATCAGATTACAGTTGGTGCTTACTCAACACGTGGGTCATTATTTCCTGGAATGGAAACAGTACCCAGTACTTCGATAACTAACAATTTGTTGCTCAATTTCAAGGTATTTGTTTCAGAGTTAGTAAACATTATATTATTGGAATTGGACTTTATTTATATCTTAAGAGCAGCACATTGAATGCATACTTTCAAAGTGGTATGACAGGTGGGTAGGTCACGATTTTACATGAAAAGAAAAACACGTCTGCTATGCGGACTTTCCGTTGATGACAAGCAATTGAGGCTTGAGAGCTAGAAAACAGTGGTACTTCACGGCGTATTTGGAGTTGCTGGGGATTTTGTTTCCACAGCGTCCAGTCACCGCTGTTTCTTCTTGATTGGATTTTTAAAAAAAATGAACTCTCTATCATTTAATGCAAATGAAAATCCGGAAATTAGGGAACACTTTTTTACTTCGGAAGTGTCGTGATGAGGGAATATAAATTGTAAGAACAGTGTTTTGCTTATACTGCCTAGAGGAAAGTCATTTGTTTGAAAGATGCTAGGTTTTCAAAATGTATTTCTGGAAAGATTTAAACACTTTCATTTCAGATCGTATTGTTAGGCGAAGGTGCTGTGGGCAAAACTTCATTGATGTTACGCTATATAGAAAACAGATTCAATCCACAACATGTATCAACATTACAGGTATTTCCAGGCACTCTGCATGCATATTTTATTTATCTGACTAATGTAAGAAGGGTAAGTTGGTTCTTCAAATAAAGAGCTATTTGATTTTATCAAGGTCGACATCGACATTGGACTTTATATCACGAATTAGGTTGAGCTGTCACTTTTTTTCAACACTATTTTATTGTTATTGTTTTCTTGAACTTTTTAGGCTTCATTTTTGTGCAAAAAACTCCATGTCGATGGTCAGACAGTGGAGTTGAATATATGGGATACAGCCGGACAGGAAAAATTCCATGCACTCGGTCCTATATATTACAGAGATAGTCATGGTGCTCTTTTGATTTATGATATCACCGATACCCATTCCTTTGAAAAGGCATGTAAATGAGCACAATTGGAGCTTTTATTTTTTGTTATTGCTAATCATTTTTGAAAAGTGCAACTCGAACTATTTTATGAACAAATGGGTTAAAGTAAATGAATAGCTAGAATCGCAAGTTTTTTTTTTTGAAAAATTGATATTCGCTTGTCGTTATATGCTACTATGTTATTATCAGGGTGCACAATATTTGGTATTGTTGGGAATGATAACGTTTTTACTCTCACTCTGGTAAGGATTAAATGTTCACATCTGTTCGCATTTTTAGGTAAAAATGTGGGTAAAGGAACTGAAACGTATGTTAGGTGATGACGTTTATTTGATGATTATTGGAAACAAACTAGATTTAGAACGAAATCGGAATGTAGATATTAATGAAGCTATCGGGTTCGTTTTTTTTGTGAACTTTAGTTTTTTTGTCAATAAGTTTTCATAATTTTGATCAGAGAACTGGAAGATTTTTCTTTGAAACTTTTAGATACGCGAAGTTGATCGGTGCGAAACATTTTGAAACTTCAGCTAAAGATAACATTGGTGTAACACAAGTTTTTGATTACCTCGTAAAAGGTAAATTCACATCATCAGTTTGTTTTTTAACTTTGCTAAGTGATCACGGTATAATGTCTCGACCACCGTTTAATGATATGATCTAGGTAATACCAAGTTTCGTTGCATTTCAATGTATTTTGCTGCGTGTTCCAATGCTTACCCGCAAAAAAAAAATATTCAAACTAAAGAATGAAAGACTGCATGATCGGAAATTTTTGTTACAGTAGAATTATTGTTGGAGTGATTGGTGGTTCTATATTAGAAAATGGTTTTAATTAGTTTGAATTTAAGAGAATTTATAGACTGATTTGTAGCTTTTCTCGGGATTTTTTTTAGGTTTAGTCGAAAGAACGAGACATTCGCAGTTGTGGAACACGAATGTAGTGTCGCATTATAGTGCATCGCGAAGGAATGACTTATTGATTATTGATGATCCACCTCCTGTCAAAAAGTCTTGTTGTTCTGGCTAGCAATTCTCATTAGGCACTTAGTTCTGTAACTATTTTTAACTCATATTTATATTTTCTTCAAGACAGTGCATGCTATTTATTTATTATGTGGATATTATTTTCGGACATTGTTATTAGTTTGGCTTTTAAAAGTTCGCAAGTCTCAAAATTTGGTTTAAACTGTAATGAGGAATTAATGAGTAGCAGGGTTACGAATCTCGCAAAACTGAACAGCGAGTGAAAAAGGTAGTCGAGAATTTTTTGGAATATAACAGGAAGTATTGTAATAAATTTTGAAGCTAAGTTTAATACTACATATTTGCGTCTGATCACAAACTTCTAAATTTTGCATTCTCTCACTTTCTGTAAATTCGTTTTAACAACTTCCAAGGTTCTACTTTTTTTCTTGTGAAAGATATATTTTTTGTAAAAGTTGAGTGTAAATAGTATACAATCGGAGTCATTCGGGCATTTATTTACTGATGAATCATACATTTTGAGCTACCGTGTCTCATTTCGGATTTTAATGACGTTTGCCGAACACTGGGAGTTTTTGGTCTGCCTGTGATAGCAGATGAGGCCTACATTAGACTTTTAACACTCAGGTGGACTATATTAGAATTCTTCATATATTTGAGGTGTTTAACACCAATTTAGTCTGGTTGTTCTTCTTTTTTCGAATGAATTCCATTAACTTTTTTACATTGATATTATATAATCTCTTCCGTGATAGGGTTACAGTTGTTAGTTTGTCACGTGGAGACTTTCATTTTTTGCAATTAATAAATTGAATGATACACTTTAATTCCTTGGTTGCCCAGAATACAGCAGAAAATCTCTTTGGCATTCAGTCGATTTCGAATGGCAATTTGCATAAATCCTCTTGTTATTTGGTTAATATCACTCATTATTTTAGTGATCATTTCTATTGTTGTCCAACTTATCGTCAGTGTTTCGTTCTTTGAAATGGGATATTTGTCCATTTTAAAAGGGTTGAACGCAAAAATTTTTGCCCTGTTTAATGAAAATTCTTGAAATTATCACTTCTACTTGTTATGTGAATCTTCACTTGTGTAATAAACCTGGTAGTACGGTAACTAGATGACCCTGATTTACTTCCTTTTTTTACTGTTTAATGGTATCACTTTCCATTTGAGATGGCTGTATCTCTTAGCGAAACTTCGTATGATTTATTTTTCAAAGTTGTTAATAAGCTGCTTAAATTCGAGAAGAGGAATTGTGCGAAATAAGAGGTATTAAGAACCTGACTTCCATTTAATCATCATCATTTCGGGCAGAAGAGTTTTGTTGATGATTGACTTATAGGAAAGAAGGGAAGGAGATTAGGATAAAAGAATGATATCGTTGTTGTACTATATGTGTGGCAGCTGATAGCATCAGATTTTCTCGGGAAATAATTGAAATAGATTACATCATAATCGTCTTGTCCTCGTTGTAGTTTTATCCGGTACTATTCGAACATTCACGATAAAATCAAAAATTCCGATGCTGGTATTAGAGATCCCCGATTTGCCATTGAATCCACTGTTTTACTAAAAAAAAGGAACAGCTAAAAATTGAAAAATCAGGACTTGAATTGAGGGAAGTGTAAACAATGGAAACGATTGTCATATTGCTTATTGGGGATTTTGGTTCTTAATTGATTAAATTTCAGGCTCATTTTAATCCTTGTCATTGACTGCAAATAGTTCAAGAATGTTGTGAAAATAAGAACCTTGTCCTCAGTTCCGTATTAATGGGATACTTCTTCTCGAAATGAATTCTTGGATCTTTTTGTTGTTGTTTGCTACCATAATCATCGGTTCTAACAGCAGTCTTTTGATAGTTTGGTTTCATGGTTGTCATTGTTGGTAATAGCAGTAACCCATTATAGAAGTGAAAATCATTGGAAGATGGATTAGTTTGTGAAATTGATGCAGCCGTTGGTAAGGTGGGTAGTGATGATACGGCATATCCTGTATATGCGGGATATGCAGGGATTTTAACACCATTAAGCATGCGCCATAACTGACTAATATTTGTTGCTCGGTTTTGCATCCATATACTATTTGAAGTAGACGGACTCGTGTGTATGCTATTATTGAAAATACCATTTATAGGTGTAATTGGTGTGATATACTGACCTATTGATCCTCGGAATATGGACACCTTATCCCAACTTGCTGGATTTTGCTGATAGTTTACTCCATACTGTGGTGCCAAAGCTGGAAACACCTTTGGTATCTGATATCTAGGTGTCCAGATTTTTCCTGATTGTACAATGGTGTTCAGTTGGTTCCATCGCTGATTGCCAGTGACGGTACCCACAATGCAATCTGAATTCGAAGTCAGATATCCTGTTTGCTTCTGATTACCATATTCCGTGCGTTTGCTTATTCTATTACTGAACTGCGTGGTGTTAGGCCAAATGGATGGTTTTGGTGTTAACATATCGCGGTGACCTGATTCCAGGTTCATCAGCAGATCGAAATCATCACTATCATCCTCTGTCTCATGCATGGATAAGATCGGTTCCGCGCCTTTTTTCGGGTTGAGTAATTTAACTTGTTGTTCATAACGTTGATTTTCGCCTCTTTTTGTTTCTGGCTTATTCATCACAACGGATTTTGCTTTACTGTATCGATATCCAATATTTTTCCCGATCTGAAGATTCATCTTATCGAAAACTTGCCTTTCTTTTTGAGAATGATTGGCTGTCTTGAAAAGTTGAATATTCCCGTTCCAAAATCTAATAGACGGCCGGAATTCCGCCCCGAACGATTCATTTTCTCGATCTGTCGTCTCTCTCGATTTCTCTTGAAGCACTGGTTTATCATTCTTGGATTTTTTGATGCCTCGACTTAGCAAAGTAGATTGCTTTCGATTCTTTTTGATATTTTCCGTTTTTTTTCATTTTGTGACAGAACGGATAAGGTTGGTTCGAGATTCGGATGTAATGGAGGTGCTATAAACCGAATATCCACAGTTTGAGATGGCTCAAATAATGGGACCAATTCTGCTTTGAAATCTGCTTGAATCTCCACTCTATGATCTGAAATTTACACTGTATAGACTATTTTCTCTTTTTATATCTTTGTTACATGTACTTTAGTTAGTCAATCATAAACAGAGGGGACACTATTAATGGATGTATTGAAAGCACTCTGAATCGGACATCCGTAGTCCGCAAAAATCGTGACAATGAGGGCAGTTTTGCTTAGATATCTGGCGAAAGTACAGAAAATTTATTATAATATAAATTTAAACAAATTAAAAAAATACTTTTGGTAGAATTGGTTCGTTTCGAGAAGTTATTTGCCGGCGAAATCAACACACCATCCAGTAGTTTCTCATGAAGAACAATACTTTGTGGTCGAATAATGGTATCTGCCAACCTTTGTTCGCAATTTTTGATCCAAAATATCGATCAATTAAAGAGCTAATTATTTTAATTAGAAAACTTTGCTCACTAATGATATCTTTTAGCAACTAATATGTGATAATTGGGACAGTAAGAAAGGTAAATGTAAAGTGTGACAATGGAAATATAAAATGGAAGTTTTGGAATATTTTCCAAGTTTTAAAAATGAATAACTGGCTTGACGTTACCTTATGGAAGACAAGGAAAAAAAGAAACATTCGTTTAAAGTAGACTTGAAGGAAATAATAACATCGCATAGTCTGCAAAAACGAAAAGTATTTATTAATCGAGGAATGGAAATAATTCAGTGATCTTTGTTTTTCTATTTCGAATTTATCTGGCGCTTTTGTTAGACACTGGAAATATTTACATCCGCCGCTAGCTGACATAAATCAGAGAGAAATTATTGAAAGTGAAATTTTGAAAGTGTTATGTTTCGTGTTGTTAGCTGATTAACTGATGTTGAATGTAAAATGATGAAGGAGAACTTGAGGATGTTTCAACCGATGTATGATATGTGTCACCAAAAGCATTTGGCATACTTCCTTTTGCTAGTCTATGGAAATTTTTAGGGCAATTCGAGAAGCGCAAATGAAAATTCGAGAGCAGCAAACTGTCCTATAATTTGGAGTAAACAACATTTCGAAAGAAAAGTTTAGCGTAAAACTTATTAATATAAAGCAAATGGAGAAATTGTTTAAATATTTAGAATGTCATTCCCTTTATGCAAGCAAACAGAAGTAAACAAAATAGAACAGCAATTGCAAACTTTGCATTACCAAAATATATCAAAAATATTGGTCATGTTAAAGTATCAAGTCATACTATATTTATTATCACAAAGTAAGTGTCTGGAAAAGTTAAAATTGTAAATAAGAAAGTGACCAAGTAAGATGACCGGTTCTCCTGTTAATTTATATCAACATAACTGACATCAACAGAACGAAAGAATTTATGCAAAAGTGAAAGCTTCATTACAATGTTTGAAAGGGGAATGAATGAGTGGACATGACGATTTGCTATCATAATTGAACACCACAAATGGCAGATGGAGTGACCTAAATTCGATGAGGGAGTATGTATTTGAAAGAGGTATGAGAAGTCCGGTGGATTTGAGAAGGATTTCCAGTTCGTTCATACATTCTCATCCAACAATTGGAAATGATGATTGTAGTATTAAAGCAAAGCTTTCACTCATTAATACAATCATTGCTCAAATCAAGTGATCCATCTATATCGATGGAATGGGAGGATGATGGATTTACTGCTTTCAAATTATAGCTCTTAAAGTTTCTACATTTTTTGTCCCAAAAAAAAAATAAATAAATAAATGATTGATGCATATATTCCAAAGTCTATTAAATTCCAATTCAATCTAATTCTAATATTTAAATCAATTTGATTCCGTGAAATTCGTTCCATTTCATTTCAATTCATTTTGATTCAATTCATTTTAATGATTAATTCTTGAAACTTTCAACAAAAATCTTCGCATTTTATCTGGTCATCACCTTCATTTATTCATTTATGTGATTGTTAGTTGCCTATACATGGCACTTTTGACTCAAACTTCACGTGCTTTAGACAAATCACATTTATACAGGGATTAACGGACAGATGTAAACAAACTATTTTCAAAATATCTCCACATAATAGAGACAAAAAAAAAACAAAAAGACAAAAACAAAAGGACCTTCTGGAAATTGATGAAATTGGTGACAAACATAGTGCCACTTTGTCCTTAAATTTTATTTATCTTTCCAAAATGCTCAACAATAAGATTGCAAGATAGATATAATTTGTAGTTCTTCAAGACAATTTCGTTCAATAGCCACCATCCCTACTCGATCCTTGATCCTCGAGACCAACCTGTCTCTTATAGGAAAGTTCTTTGCTAGTTGATCGTGACAATGAATTTAAACGAGATGTTAGGGAATTCGCTGATCGCCGTAATTGTTTGTAAAATGGTGCGCACATCCTTAGCGCTGCCTGCAATAATACTCTTTAATTACTCATTGAGCATTCTGCAGCTACCATATTTGGCACCTTTAGGTACCACAAAACACCTTCATCTCTTCCTTTCCCTCCCACATTGTCTAAAATGTCTAAATACCTCGTAGGGAGGAGGTGCTTCATCGATAGGTTTCATCGGTTCGATTAAAGGATATCGATCATCCATCGATTCTTCATTTATCGTATTGTAACCAGGGGAACGCCATGCTGCTGATAGGCCTGCAATAGTTGCTGATCGCGGAGAACCATTTAGTGTTCGTGGAACCGCTGATGACGGTGTGGTTACGATCAATGGGTACGATCGACCAGTTACTCTGGAATCCGAGCATATGAAACTTCTACAGCTGCGCAAAAAAGTAAATTAGAGTTTATCGATTTTCTTGGAAGGTTAGACACACTAACAAAGAACTGGCTGAGGTTGATCTGATCGATTCAAACCCTCCCTGTATCATCTGTTCAGACAAGTATTGGCTTATTTTCACTTGGACCCTATCGCTAAATCGCTAACATAAGAGAGAATTGCTTTTCGGTTTGCTTGTACTTTCCGGAAAATATGAAAGAATTCACACTGTAAAGGGGATAAATCACCGGTGATAAAGTGCTAAAGGAATGACTTACTTATTGAACATCAAACTCACAGAGCGACTTTGAAAAGGGGTACGGTCTCTGAAATCACGCCCGTTTGATGATCGTCTGGGCTCATTTCGGAAGAAACGCTTTGGTGAATTCCGAACAGCACCGTAATTCATAATCACAACATTCTCACTACAGGTTGTTACAACACGATTTCGGTTCCGGAAATTACCATTTGGAAGGACATGCTATAAGGTACGATTACGAATTAAGACTTTTTAAATTAGCATTTAATCTGAATATCGTTTTAACGTCGCAATGGAGTTTTGGAAGGTTGCGTAGTCTTAATTAAATTTCCGAACTTGATGTATTTTCTGTCGTTTTACATCAGTCTCTTTGATCTCATTGATTAAGACCTTATTAGAACCTGAAAAATTCATTCAAAAATTTGCAGTCCACTTAATATGTCTTCTGAAACTATATTCTAAATTAACCTTAGGTCTGAGTTAGACTTTAATTATATTTTTTTTTCTTCATATTCAAACATATTTGTATAACAACTGACCTGATTGGTTGGTTCCATAAGCATAGCTTCACTATAGCTTGGCACGACAAGGTAACTATCATGCTGTATTATCGATTCAAGCTCATGATTATCGCCTGTGGATCCATGAGTCACCATACCAGTGTAATTAACACTTGATGGACTAAAATTTAGACGGAAAACTCTGATAACCACTAATTTCCTATGGTATTAGAAAGAAAGAATAGATGAATGAGAGTAAAGCGTAAGGTGCAAAATAACTTGCGCAGAAATACATTACTTTCCTTCCATTAATAACCTACCTCAAGTAATTCGTACCGAACAATTTCGAAATCTGGTAGTTGACATGAGCGGTACGCAAATCACAAATGAGTCTAAGTGGCCAACTGAGCAAAAAATACTAGAAATCCAAAATGCGGTTGAGGTCAAATACCAAGGGCGCTTGTTCGACTGCGATGAATATACAATTAGTGATTCAATGAATTGTATGCCGGCAAAATCAAGACCTTCACGTACCTAAAATTGTTTACACTTCAAGTACCATAAGGTAAACATCATTTATGTACTGAATCTTCGATTTTCCGCTTTCTGCTCCACATTCCGTGACAGTGTTAGCCATCAATTTGCTTTATTACTTAATTATTTCGACTAATTTGGTTACTTCCATATAATCATCACGAATTTCATTTTCGATGAAAAAGCGCGAGCGTTGATCTTCGAATTCATTGGCTGCTTGAATACAAGCAAAAATAAATCCTTTGGTGATATTGATTCTGGTGATTGGATAACGCTCCAAATCAATCAATGATTTCGATACATCCTGAAGAAATATCGATTCCTTGATGGATAAGAGCATTACATGCGATATATTTGACAACACATGCCTTCATTGTAAAATTTCTGAATGACCTTCTGTGAAGTTTCCTGAATGTCGCAACAATTTAATCTGTCATTCATTTTTATAAGCTTTAAATGTAAACATATATCATTGGCTTGTTTAATATATCAGCTGAACTCATCCCATGCTACAACTCCCATTATCATATTAAGCGCAGTACTTCCTCTTCATGGTGTCAAAGTATCAAAGCAATTACATCTGCTTCCTAGCAGTTTTAAAATTTAAAATTCAAATTTTTACTTAAAGAGATACCTTGACACCACATGTATCGTATATAAAAACACTCCCAGCAGCATGTGAATTGACTCGCTCATAAAAAGTTTGTAATGCTGAGATAGCATCGCCATTTCTATATCTTCAATTTTATAACTTAGAAGGTAATTTCAATAATTTAATCTCAAAATTTCAAAAAAACATAGTTTCGAAAATTTTTTAGAAGTTGAAAGTTTAAAACTTCGTGAAATAAAACATATTAATAATCTTAACAAGTTATCGTAATGTGTGTATGTATGTGTGTGTGTGTGTGTGTGTGTGTGTGTGTGTGTGTGTGCATGTGTGTATATGTGTGTGAAAAACAATGACACTGATAATGATATGAATTAAATTTAATTTAATGTTTAATTCTACGTTTATTACGGTAGTAT